TTTCCTTTCCTTTCCTTTCTCTTATTTTCTTTTTTCTTTCTTTCTTCCTTCCTTTCCCTTCCCTTCCCTTCTTCCCTTCCTTCCCTCTTCCCTTGCTTCCTTTCATTCGTTCCTTCCTCTCTTCCTTCTCTATCTTCCAGACTGACCTGCCTAGCTTGAGCGTTGTTCCTATGGCGGGGCTGGGAGTTGAAAAGAAAAGAGACTTTCAAGCGGCTCTTTTCTGTTTCCACCGACTTTCTTTCCCAAAGTCCAACTTCATTTCACACTTCAAAATAATCATCATAATAAAAAAAATGAATGAAAGAAACAAATCAAACATTTACAATCCTGAGGCCCGTAGAAGGACGAGGAGGAGGTAAAACAGCTCCTTTTAAAAAGAAATTATTATTATTATTATTATTTTAAACTGACCTAGTCTAACTTCTCCCGAGATTCTTCGGAGCCGCTCCGGATTCCGCATCCTTCCAGCTTCCGGGACAACGCGGATTATGGGCCCTCCCAGCTGGGATTTATCGGTAGAGAATTCCCCCAACTAGGACAGGTCTCCTCAGCCCCGGCTGTCGATCCACCGGCGAAAGAGCTTTCCCACGGAGGTTGGGAACAGCTACCTCTCGCTTCTCCCTTGCTCTAACCCGCCCCAGGCCCAGATTCCCTGGGGGGGGGAGCCAGAGACCCCTTCTCTCCTTCTCTGCGCCCTCATTTGGCCTTACTCTGTCGGGATTAAACTTTTGATACATACATACATACATACATACATACATACATACATACACACACACACATCAGAGGATTACCGCCATCGCTGGAGACCCCCAAAACCAAATTAAGGAAGTGCCTTGTTTGGAGATTCAGAACTGCACTCTAATAAGATCCAATCTTAATATTTCGGACGGGCCAGCCTAAATCTAAGCTAAAACTCCGAAAAATCCGCTAATCCCGCATTGCATTCGATAACCGAGATCCCTACCAGGATCTAGTCTGCAATGTCCCAAATCTGCAGCTTTCCAGGCTGGGTGGGAGTGGGGCAGTAGGAGTTTGGGGCCGGTCAGGAAACTGCACAAATTCACACAATTTTGTTTCAAAGGAGAAATAAACAGCAACGGGTTTATTATTCTTATTTGTCCAAGAGAATGAATACAACAATTTGAAGACCACATAAAATCAAAGCGATGACTTTGGAAAAGGCTCGACGGGGAGGGGGGAAAAGGGGAAAGGGGACCGTATTTTACAAGAAAAATAAAATAAATCTCGCCTCTGCTTTCTCTTTCCCCACATTTTTTTTTTTTAAAAAGCATTTGGTTTTCCCACCCCCTGCCTCTTCTTGTTATTCCACTTTTGGGAGGCAGGAAATATTGAACAAGGAAGGGCAAAATAAATTATTCATATAAAAAAAGACTAACTTTAAAAAGGAGGGTTTTTTTTTAATGCAAGTTTTTTACATAAAACTAAAGAAATAAGAGGAGAAGTATATTTCATTTGGCAGCTGTGGGGAGGAAGGGGGGTCTGAGAGAGGAATAATCCAGTGATCTCAACTTTAAATATTATATTAACGGCCCTCCATGGAAGCCTACTTCAAAATCCACACATATTTACAACACGATAAATGGAAACATCCCCTCATTAAAACAAAACCGACCCTACCAAGACATATACATTTATATTTATATAGCGTAGTCTCCCCCGCTTTTTAAAAATTGTATAAGCCATCCTTGTGGAATCAGGGGTTTTATATTGCCCACGATTGCCAACATATTTAATATCCATTTTTGACTCATCTATTATTATTAATATTGATATTAACATTTCTGTTCAAGAAAGGCTGCGTCCCTCATCACCCTGTTCGGTTTTCGTTTCTAGTGTTGGCTGTTTTATTTTGGGTTCCCACCCTCCGAACAGAAAATAACTGGACTGAAAAAGATGAGTCGTGAAAAATATATATATTTATATATATATATATTTATCAATCAATCAATCAATCAAATTTTACGGTCCTTTATTGACTTTGGACAGGAGGGGGAGAAGTGTTTCATTTTTTGTCCTTTCTTTCTTTTTTGCCCGTAAATCTGTTTTGAAAAACAAAACAAAACCAGAGTCAATTTGCTTGGCTTTCCCCAACTATTGTTTAAAAAACAAACCAAACAAACAGAGGCCTACTTTTGCTTCTATAGTCCGCCTGCTGTGTTGGGGGCCAGGCCCCCTTTCCCGGGTCTCTCTCTCTGTCTGTCTGTCTGTCTGCCTGCCTGCTTAACCCGGAGGCAGGTCAGTATTTAGCGCAGTCGTAGGAATAAGGGGCGGAGTGGCGGTAAATGGAGGGCGGAGCCCGGTAGGAGAGCTCGCAGGTGGAGTGGCTCACCTGTTGCTCGCTCAGCGCCGTCGAGGTCTCTAATCCCAGCCGGTGAGTGTTGAACATTTCCCGCACGTTGGGGAAACTCTGCTGCTGGGCGCCGAAGGTGTGGCTGGGCAGAGGCTGGTTGATGTCCGACGCGTGGTTGAGGTACCAGGAGGCGGCGGCGGCGGCTGCAGCGGCCGCGGTGGCGGCGGCTTGCCCCGGGCTCTGGTGATGCGGGAGCGGATGATGGTGTTGGTGGTGATGCGCCGGTTGGTGGTGGTGGTTGCTGGGAGGTAGGGAGCTCTCCTGCTGTTGCTGCTGCTGCTGCTGCTGCCCGCCCTGAGCCAGGTTCAGGCCGGCCAGGGGCGAGGGGGCGCCGTTGGCCACTTGCGGCGGGGGTTCCGACAGCGAATTGCCGGCCTCTTCCAGCGGCCCGGCGCCGCAGAGATGCGCGTTGCGCTCGCCCGTGTAGAGGCTCATGGCGCGCATGCTGCACTGGTAGCTGCCCCCGGCCTCGCCCAAGCCCCCCTGGCTGCAGGCCTGGCTGTAGATGGACGAGGCGGGCGCCTGGCCGTAGCCCAGGGGCAAAGAGGAGGAGGCGCAAAGGCCCGGCGGCGTCCTGCCCACGGGGCTCAGCTCGCCGCCGGGCGACGTCCGCAGGGTCATGATGTTCTCCACGCTGAAGCCCGGCAAGCCGTTTGCGCCGGCGGACGGGTGGTGGTGAGCGTGTGGGTGGGCTTGGTGGGGCTCGCCGGGCAGCGAGCCCTCGGTGGAGAGCGAGGGCGTGGAGGCCACGCTGCGCGGGCTGTCCTGCAGGGCGCTGCCGCTCTCCGGGCTGAGCGTCTCCACCTTGGTGATCACGGGCAGCTCGGGCGACGACGCCTCGCTCTTAATGACCACTTTCTTCTCCGACGAAGCCGGGACGGGCGCCGAGGCGGCGGGGAGCTCCTTAGCCAGCTCGGAGGCCGCCTTGACCGGCTCCTTGTGGTGTTTCTCCCGCGGGCTCTCCTCCTTCTCCTTGGAGACGTCTTTCTTCTTGAAGCGCCTCCGGCGGCGCAAAAACGAGCCGTTCTCGAACATGTTGTAGGAGTCCGGGTCCAGGGTCCAGTAGCTGCCTTTGCCCGGCTTCTTGTCGTCGCGGGGCACCTTGACGAAGCACTCGTTGAGCGAGAGGTTGTGGCGGATGGAGTTCTGCCAGCCCTGCTTGTTCTCCCGGTAGAAGGGGAAACGCTCCATGATGAACTGGTAGATGCCGTTGAGCGTGATCTTCTTCTCCGGCGCGTTCTGGATGGCCATGGTGATCAGCGCGATGTAGCTGTAAGGCGGCTTAACCAGGTCCTTCGGGGCCTGCACCGGCTGGTGGCCCGGGTAGGGCCCGTACGAGCGTCCCAGCCCGGCCGCGTACTGCTCCGGGTGGCCGGCGTAGACTCCCAGCGAACCGGCCATGCCTCCATAGGTGCCCGCCGTCCGGTAGTAATTCTGCTCGCTCAAATAGGGCACCACTCCCAGAGCGTTGGGATCCGAGACGGAGTAACGAGCCTGCATGGCTGTCCCAGCTCCGGGGGGAGGGCGAGGAGGCCTCCCGCCGCCCTCGCCCAAAAAGTCAGGTCGCAGAGAAGGAGCCGGCAGGAAAGGCGGCCCCTCTGCCAACGGGGCGCCCTGCTCCGGAGACCCCCGAGCGTTTCCAGACTCCTCCGCCGAAGGCCGGCTCCTCGCCCCTTGCTTAACAGGCCCGGATTGAGCCCGCTTGGTTCATATTTATATCTTTCGCAACCAATCTCGGCTCCTCGCTCGCCCGCCCGCTCGCTCTCCTCCTCCTCCTCCTCCTCCTCTCTCCCCTCGTCGTAAAAGGGCAGGAGGAGGGCGAATGGTTAAAATGATGGAGGGAGGGAGGGAGGGAGGGAGGGGGCAGAGATAGAAACCCCGGCAGGTCCGAAAGATGTAGTCTGTTCGCGCTGCCCCCACAAAGACGAAGGGGGGGGGGGAGAAATAATTCTTGCAGGAAAAATAAAATAAAATAGCAGACCAAGAACGAGGGCGGAGGCAGCGCGGCTGGCTGGCGGGCTGGGCTGGCTGGGTCCCCGACGCTTTGACTCGGCCTTCCCCCGGTCCCTTTTCCGGGCGAAAGTGAAGCCCCGGCGGCGTATAAACAAATAAAAAACAAGCGCCCCGAATCAAAATAAAGGAGCGTGCGCGCCTCTCCGGAGCCTGGGCAGCGCCCCGCGCGAAGCCAAGTCCCGCATCCAGGGCCGGGGAAAGTTTTCCAAACTTCTCTTGGGCAAGGGCAGTTTTGACTCCTCGCTGGCCCCTCCCTCCGCCGCCGTCCAATGGCAGCCGGCTCGGGCTCGGGCTCGGCCAATGGGGCGAGGCGAAGGAAGGCGCCGTGAGGACACCGGGATTCCGGGGAGCACCCCAGGGTTAGGCGCGGGGCTGGGGGAGGCCTCTCCGGGCCCTTCGGAGCTCTGGCGGGGGGAGAAAGAGGCGAAGGGCGGGCGAGAAGGCAACGCCGGCCGAGTCCGTCTTTTTTTGGGTGGGGGAGGGCAATTCTTCCTCCTCTCTGCCCCCCAAGGTCACCCTTATTAAACTACCATCATCCTGGTTAACCGTGGTAACGATTCACCTTCCTAATCAGGGTGGCATCTCAGCCCCTCCGCGCGTGGCGGAGGAAAAGGCGCAGAATTTTGCGCCGTTTGTGGCAGCGCAAAACTTTTCTCAAAGAGAAAAAGAAAGCGCCTTTTCAAAACCACCTTAATACCCCAAAGGCCAGGCGCTGGGTTTTCCCACGGGACACCCACCTTCCTCCGCGGGGGAAACCCCGATTTTTGACTCGTGAGGGAGAGACCGAGCTGGCCAAGGGCCTTCTTCCCCTGCCGGGCCGCCTCCCGCAAAATACAAAATAAAAAACCCGAAGTGGCTCCGGCGAAGTCGCTCAGTGGGGTGAAGAATTCCGATAAAGCTTATTTAGCACTTCGGTTCTAAACTCAATTAACACCTCCATCCTAAATACCTGGAATTAAGGGATGGCGGGAAAGGGCTGGGGTGGGGGGGTGTAGGAGGAATTTCGCGCAGAGGATCGCGCCTGGAACGAAATGCGCGGATTGGTGTTTTTTGTTATCTTCCTAGAAGGCAAATAGATTTAATCCTTGCACGGATAACGGGGATGATAATTATTTGATCCAGTTGGCCTGCCCTCTCTTCCTCGTCGCCTTTTCCCTACCTTCCTTCCTCCTCCTCCCCCCACGGCCCCCTCCACCTCTTGATTATTCCATTAAAGACCCCCAATCACACCCGGTGTGATTTTTGTGCCTTTTGCGAGTTGGCAAGAACGCCGTTCGTTTGGTTGGCGAAATAAGGGAATCAGAGGTAGAGAAAAGCGACGGCTTGAAAAAAGTGTTTTGCCACCTCTTTGCGCGTCCTTTATTTATTTATTTTTAAAGGGGAAAGTCAGGAGAAACTGGACCGGAATTTTTTGGAAGGGACCGTATTCCAACCTCTTTCCTGTATTTTTGAAAAATGTATTTTTTAAAAAGAACTTTTCCTGGTTTTTTTTTTTTTTTTAAGCCACCAGCTTGGGCGAGGTGATGAGAGCGCTCGGAGGCGCGTTTCTTAAACTAGGGATATTGTACATTGTAATCGTGTGGATTTTCTGCACGGATTGTGGCCCAGAATTGCAAACTTTTCAAAAGGGCGAAAGTTGAACCCGGTGGAGGCGATGCCCGATTGTTTTCTGGGGTTTACCCCAATTTGAGAAGCAGTGGTTTTAATCCATTAAGCGCATACTTCTAAAATGAAAACCAGTTTAAAATGGTCTATATGCTTTTTTAAATGTTTTTATTTATAATAACAGGAATGGGATTTTTTTTTTTTAACTCAGGAGTTCAGAGTGGTTTATATTTGGGGAAGCGAAGCTGGGAAACTACAGCGCTTCGGTAATGAAAGTTAGAAAGGGAGAGAAAAAATCCGCTTCGGAAAAACTGACCTTTTTTGAGGAAGAACTCAGAGGAATATTCGTATTTTTGAAATGCAGGGAACCGAGGGGCAATTATTTGAACTAAAAGGAAATTTGCTGAAATGATTGGAAAATCCCTTCAAAAAATAAAATAATTCTTTTTCGATTTTCCTCACTTGGCTTTTTTTTTCCTGGGGGGTCGAGGAGGCATCCTTCTTTGAAAAGGCACAGCAAAGAGATGGAAAAAAAAGTTAAATAAATTAGTAATGTTAAATTAAGTCAGAAAATGTTATGTTTGTGGTATTCTTAAAGGCTCGCCTTGGTGCTGTTCTATTTAATGATGATAAGGATCAACCCAACCTTCCAATGTCTAATGAAACATTGGTCGAAAATATGAATGAAATTAAACTAGAAGGGACAGGCAGAAATGGGGAGGGGAACGATTTATTTATGCATCATTTCTTATCATAGTCACGTACTGTAAAGAAAGACCTTATAGAATTTTCGAGACAAAGTAACTTTTCTTCTCCTGGAGAATAAATGATATTACTTGCCCTACCTGCATTCCTCGTGGCTAATTTACTGGAAAGGACATTTGTATTAAATTACCCAAAATAAAAGGAAGATATTTATTGCTTTCCCTTAAATTATAGGATGGGGGAGGGAAGGAAACCACCGTTGTCTTTTAAAATAAAATTCCTACGGTCGCATGCATTCACATAATTATTGATCCTAAATGACCCCATCCTGTCTCGCAAATTAAAAATAGGAGAAAATTTGGCCCTTTCGGTGAGATGGGTAAAGTCTAGGCACAAACTTTGCCCTCCTTCGGGGATGAAAAACAGGCTGCCTAGTATCTTTGCACACCTCGCTCGCTTCCTTTCTATTCCCTGCCCCGTGGAATTGTTTCAAGAATGCAAAAACCTCAAAAGTTATGGGCGAGGACAACCGCGCCACTTCACACACACACACACACACACACCCCTGGAAATAGGTGAATGTAGCATAATATTGTCAGCAGCTGGAGCCTCTGCGATTTCTCAGCAATCATCACTCCCTGGAGTTTACTGCCCTCTAGAAGTCAAAAGAATGAATTGTAACCTTTTTTTTTTTTTTTTGGTTAAAAGAAAAAGTTTTGTCTCTTTGAAGGCAGTGACACCTTGTGTATGGACTGTGATAGTACACATAATGCTGTACGCTTGAATAACAGACCTGATTATCAGTCGTCTCTTCATAGTTTTATCCAAAGACAGCAGGGTTTCTTAACCGTGGCAGCTTTAAAATATGTGGACTTCAACTTCCACCTACCCGTTAGGTGACTGAAAAAAGATTCATGTGTTCAGTCTAGTGTGTGTGTGTGTGTGTGTGTGTGTGTGTGTGTGTGTGTAAGAGAGAGAGAGAGAGAGAGAGAGAAAGAGACAGACAGACAGACAGGCAGACACAGAGGTGGGATTCAGCAGGTTCTGACCAGTTCTGGAGAACCGGCAGCAGATATTTTGAGTAGTTTGGAGAACCAGCCAGTTCCACCTCTGACTGGCCCCGCCCCCTTCTCGTCTCTGCCTCCCATTGAGTCCCAGCTGATCATTGGCTGGGTCTCCTTTGGTTGCCCTGCACAGGAGAACGGAGCTGGAAAGCAGGTTAGTGGGGTGGGGAGGGAGGGAAGGGGGATTTTGCAGTATATCCTTCCCCTGCCACGCCCACTAAGCCAGGCCGCACCCACAGAATTGGTAGTAAACATTTTTGAATCCCACCACTGGGCAGACACAGAGCCAGGATGCGTGCAAATAGCTATCGCGCTGTGTTGGCATCTGTACGGAGCAAAGTTTCCAACACGCATTGAGAGTTTCACCAGATGAACATCCCAAAATGTTACGAAACAGGACTGCGCTTTCTTGAACCCTTAGCCAGGCAAGATGTTGTGAAGAAAGGAGGGAGAAGACAAAGTAATGTGTGCCCCCTCCCTCAAAGAAAAATAGGGCTACCTTTGAAATGGGGAAAATCCCCTGCCACCACCCCCTCCAGAAGGACTGGGCCGTAGCTTCCCATTCCAAATCCCAGGCAGCATGGCTTACTACCCCATGAGGACTAGCAACTCAAAGAATGGAGCAAACCCCAGTAACACCATTTGAGGAGCTGCTGATATGGAGAGGAGTGGAATTGAATGGACTTCCTTGAGATGCCTGTCCTTCTCCACCCATTAACTCCCAGAGAAGGGGGGATGCTTTGGGGAAGGAAGGAAAGAAGGGAGGGAGGGAGGGACGGAGGGACGGAGGGATGGAGGGAGGCAGAGAAGGTTAAATGAAATAAGGAGAAGGAATGAGGGGAAGTAAGTTGCAATAGGAAGGAAGGAAGGAAGGAAGGAAGGAAGGAAGGAAGGAAGGAAGGAAGATAGATCAGAGGAAAGGAGACTAGGAAAAGAAAAGGAAGGGAAGGAAGGAAGGAAGGAAGGAAGGAAGGAAGGAAGGAAGGAAGGAAGGAAGGAAGGAAGGAAGGAAGGAA